AGTCCCTGTTCCCCCGAGCACTGCCAGGAGTGACCAGGAATAACGGTCACAAGCTGGCAGAGGGTAGATTTAAGCTAGATATCAGGAGGCGCTGCTTCACGGTGATGGCGGCTAAGATCTGGAACCAACTTCCAAGAGAAGTGGTGCTGGCTCCTACCCTGGGGGTTTTTAAGAGGAGGTTAGATGAACACCTTGCTGGTGTTTGACCCCAGTACTCTTTCCTGCCATGGCAGGGTGTCGGACTAGATGATCTACTCAGGTCCCTTATGACCCTAGAAACTATGAAACTATAAACTATGAAACATTGTCACTTTTATGCATTTTAAAAGGAGAAAAACACGCTGCTTGGAATTTAACTTTTGCCAGTTCTATTATAGAGAGGTTTTGTTTTCCAGTTTCTGCCTTTCAGTACATTAGCTCTAGAAGTTTCTAAAGACCTTTTCACGACCCAGGTTCACAACCAGTATTCCATCTGAATTCTACTGACCTCTCACCCGCCTTTTGATACAGTTAGCAGTCTTCTTGAACTCTTGTTCTAACTTCAATTCCTGTTGTTTCTCCCGATTTTTTCTTCCATCTCTTTAGTCAATCCTTCATCCTTCAGTATTCTCTTCACTTCCTAACTCTACGGGTGTTGTCTTTAATCTTTTTTTTCTACACCAGTGATTCACGGCCAGGGTGCCTTGAAATCATTTGTTGTGTATGTTTTAGCACTGTTAGGCATATAAACATGACACAAGATAAACCCATGAGAGTTCTTAAATAGGAATCCATAGTGTCAAAAGCATTCAATCCTGTTTTGTTATCAAAAAGTGAAAACTAAGAGCTGGTATTTTGTAAGGGGTGTCTCAAGCCTAAAAAATTGTAGAGTAGTAGTTCTCAACCTTGTCTGGGTAACATTCCCAACCACAAATGGAACTACTATTTTTATCTTGAAGACCTGAGATACCTCTCTTCTCTCTCTGCTGGTCCCCCTTGCCCTCCTTTCTCTCCCCCTGTTTCAGAGTTGTTGCCATCTTT